AGCCCCGCCTGTGCCGGGGGCGGGACGCAGGGGGGCGCTTGTGCAGCGAGCTGCGCGCGGGGGGCGGGGCCGCCAGCGGCGCGGGGCGGCGGGAAACCGCGGGGGGTCTTCAGGGGCTTAACTTCTCTGGCGAGGTTAAACCACTTCTGTTTCACGTGCGATAAGGGCGCTGGTGACGTTTGCCTGCGTATTAATTATTACTGTTATGCAGTGAATGGTGTTTCTGAATAAATAAATACGATGCTGTCAAAGAAGTGAATTATTTATTTAGCCCCAAAAAGGTAAAGTATATAGATTAACCCCAACGAAGGCTTGCAGTATAAATTGTTTATAATTCAAAGGTCTACTTAGACTGCTGCGGGTGAGGTTTTCTTAGATTTTTCAGTCGATGTCAATAATTTGATTTGTATTGGCTTTAAAGGGTTTTGGTCTGAAATTGTCTCTCTCTAAAATTCCACGTCTACTCCAAAGGTTATCATGTCCGCAGAAATGCTTTGCAGCCTGGTGTCACAGAAGCGAGCCTAGGTAGGAACAAGAAGCACGCAACAATAACTCGGAGGTTTGGGGCTGTGGGTTTTTCTTCAAAATTCATTTCTCTCAACTGACAGATTTTTAGGCTGGGCATTATTTGTATCAAATCTTTCACTTCTCGAGGTGGTACAGGTGATTCCTAAGCGTTCTGGTCGCATCATGAGGCAGAGCTGTGGGTTAGTGGGAGGCTAAACCAATAATTTCTTTTAAGTGCCGCTGAGGCTTCACTTACGCTGCTTGAAGGACACATGACTTTAATAGCGATCAAAAATCATTTATTTATAAGTCACATCTGTAGCATATTAAACAAACTATTTTTTACTAGAGACAGGGTTGAGTACTTACGCATCAAACCTAGGCAAAATATATGACTGTAGGCTACTCATTTTCCTTCTCTAGCCTATTTTTCCCTCTCTAACCTCATTGTTTCATACATAAACTTACTTTGCAAGCTACCTTGTGCCTTGGCGTTTGATTTGTTCCGTAAATCCATAGCACGGTTTGGTGCTGTTTCACTAACTGACGGTGTCTTTACAAAAA